TTCTACAAATCTGAAAAAAGCCCCAGATTTTCAGAGAAATATGAAATCTTTAAAAAAGGGGGGGAGTGGTTAAAAACCCCAAAATAGTAGAAGCGGTACATGTAACTTTAAGAAATGAATGCCTTCAGTGGCAATTGCTAGGCCACCACAACAGTATTGCTAGCTTCCCTACCTTGGTTTCTGCCAGTAAAAGGTGAATGGATGGGGCAGGGCCCTTTCCAGAGCTGCTTGTTTCTGCCAGTAAAAGGTGAATGGATGGGCCTTTCCAGAGCTGCTCGGGCCTTAGAGAGAGAACTCATAAGGGCCATGCCTGGCAGCTTGCTACTATTCAAGGACAGCCACCCCATGATAGCCAGTATACTATAGTGGTTAGAATTTTGGATTAGGATCTGAGAGAACTAAGTTCGATTCCTTATTCTACCACAGAAGCTCCCCTGGGTGACACCTGGACCAGTTATACATTCTCAGCCTAGCCTACCTCATAGTGTTCTTATGAGAATAAAATAGAGAAGAGAATGCTGTAAGCTGCTTTGGGTCCTCATTGGGCAGAAAGGTGGGATATAAATTAAGTAAATAAATAATATAGAGCAGAAGATGGGGAGCAGATAAAATTCTGGTTGGTGGGTGGGAAAAAGAAGCATGGAAAGGTGAGGATATGGGGGTTACCAGGAAGAGGGGGAAAAGGAAATACTGTGGAGAAGGAGATAGAGGGGAAAATGAGATGCCCTCTACAAGCCCTTGCAGCTTCCCCCGCACACAACTGGCCCCAGCTTGGTGGCCAGCATAGCACAACTGAGCTGGAAGGGCACAGAGTTTTTCCCGGGGTTACTCAGCTAGCGGGAGGGAAGGAGGGAAAGATGAAGACAGGGAACAGAAGAAAGGTAGGTTGGATGGTGGATGGAAAGGAGAGAAGGAAGCAGGAAAAGGGAAGAAGTTACAGGGGCTTTCAAGGAATGGAAATAGGAAATAGTGAAAATGCAATGCCCCCTACAAGTCCTTGTGGACCCCACTTGTAAGTGATCTAATAAATGTAAAGCCTAGTGATGTTGGCTTCTGAAAGGACCTCCTGTAAGTTCCTGCTGCCCTGATCTGAATAGCCCAGGCTAGCCCAGTCTTGTCAGATCTCAGAAATGAATAGGGTCAGTCCTGGTTAGTACTTGGATGGAAGATCACCAAGGAAGTCCAGGGTTGCTCTGTAGAGGCAGGCAATGGCAAACCACCATTGTTCATTTCTTGTCTTAAAAACCCTATGGGATTGTCATAAGTCAGCTGCAACCCGATGGCACTTTCCATCACCAAGTCCCCACTAAACTCATCTCAGATGGGGCAGCTTGCCATACAAATGTCCATACATTCAGGAGGAGGAAATTGGATTTATACCCAGCCCTTCACTACCTGAAGGCGTCTCAGAGCAGCTTTCAATTTCCTTCCCCTCCCCACAACAGACACTCTGTGAGGTAGATGGGGCTGAGAGAGCTCTTTTGAGAACTGCTCCCGAGAGAACAGCTCTGAAACAACTTGTAACTGACCCAAGGTCACACCAGCAGCTGGATGTGGAGAAGTGGGAACTCAAATCCAGTTCTTCCAGATCAGAGTCCGTGCTCCTAACCACTACACCAAACTGGCTCTCTTGAGGTTGAGCAGGTTGACATGGGTGGGGGCAGTCCTTCAGTGACTTGGGGCCAAGCCATTCAGGGCTTCAGAGATCCAAACCAGCATCTGAAAATGAATCCAGAAACAAGCAGGAAGCTAGCGTAGTTAGCAGAGCACTCCTTTTATATGTTCTGTCTGTTGAGAGCCAGGCCATATATGACAGTCTACAGAGGGTGAGCCTGGGATCTGCACAATGGCATGGATCCAACCTTCCTCCAAGGAGCCTTCCCTTAACTTGTGCTGGAGGAGGGTTCCTTAAGCTGGAGGAAGGCTTCAGACCTTGCTCAAGTGAGTGGTAACAGGGGTAGGATCCATTCCTGTGTCTTTTAGTCAGACATCCCACCTGTGCAGTGTCAGATCTGAATCACAACAGCCCATGGGGAGAAGGAGCTTCAAGCCCCAGGGTTGCCAGCTTCCTGCTGGGAGCAAGGGATCTCCCGCCCCTGGTTCTTATAGCCCGCTGGGCGGAAAACAAATGTTAAAATTGCTGTAAGGCAACGGCATGATGTTACTTCTCGGGGGGAAACAGAAATGATGTTACAGCTTTTTAGGGATCACTGGAAACTCTGTGGTTTTATTTTTGTTGCATTTGGGGAGGAACATGCAGTTCAACCACTCTGCAATGTGGCCCGTACCAAGCAGCAGCAGAAGCAGATTTCTTTAGTTCCTTTTGGAACACCTGTCTGTGGATGGTAAGCTGCTTTCAGGTTTGTGGGTCACAAATCACATGAGAGCCAGTTTGGTGTAGGGGTTAGGTGTGCGGACTCTAATCTGGGAGAACCGGGTTTGATTCCCCACTCCTCCACTTGCACCTGCTGATGTGACCTTGGGTCAGTCACAAGCTCTGGCACAGCTGTCCTTAAAAAAGAGCAGTTTGTGTCAGAGTGCTCTCAGCCCCACCCACCTCACAGGGTGTCTGTTGTGGGGAGGGGAAGGGAAAGGAGTTTGTAAGCCGCTCTGAGACTCCAAGTGAAGGGCAGGGTATAAATCCAAACTCTTCTTCTCGTCTTCTTCTTCATATAAAGGAATTGTTTGCTGTATCAGGATCATAGGGAGGGAAAAGATAATACTCTTAAGAAAGCAGTTGAAGAAAAATGATGGGTGGGTACTCAAGATTCACAGCCATTACTGAGTAATAGTTGTTGTTATCATTTTCCTGTCAGGACTCCTGTGTTTTTAATAACTGTGAGCATTCATAGGATCATAAGAGTTGGAAGGGATCTCCAGGTTCCTCTAGTCCAACCCCCTTCACAGAGCAGGCTATTCACAAATACCTCCCCACACACCCCCAGTGACCGCTGTTCCACACGCAGAAGATGACAAAAAAACCTCCTGGCTCTCCAGCCAAACTGACCTGGAGAAAAATTGCTTCTTGACCCCAAAGTGGCGACCAGCATTTCCCTGGGCATGTAAGAAAAGCCACCAAAAAATAAGTGCTGATGCATCCCTTCCTGCCCTCCCTCTCATGATATGCCTGAGTTCACAGAATCAGCATTGCTGTCAGATGGCCATCTAGCCTCTGTTTGAAAACCTCCAAAGAAGGAGAGCCCACCACCTCTCAAGGAAGCCTGTTCCACTGAGGAAATGCTCTGTCAAGACATTCTTCCCAATGTTCAGCCAAAACCTCTTTTGATTTAATTTCAACCCATTGGTTCTGGTCTGACCTTCTGGGGCAACAGAAAACAACTCTGTACCGTTCTGTATATGACAGCCCTTTGTTTACTTGAAGATGGTTATCATATCACCTCTCCGTCATCTCCTCTCCAGGCTAAACATACCCAGTCCCTTCAACCTTTCTTCATAGGACTTGGTCTGTAGACCCCTCACCATCTTAGTTGCCTGCCTCTGGACACGATCCAGCTTGTCTATATCCTTCTTAAATTGTGGTGCCCAAAACTGAACACAATACTCTAGGTGAGGTCTAACCAGAGCAAAGTAACAAGTACATCTTTTTTTAAGCAAGGACATGCAGCACTGGGAGAAACCTTGCCTGCTGGATGCCAATGCAGGCCCACATTAAAACCTCATAATGTGATAAACTATTTCATTTAAGAGCTACCATAAAGAAAAAGCATGCTTTATTATTCTCACAGGAATGACACTGAAAATATAAAAATAGCCATGGGGTCAGTCTGAGCCTGAGTGGGTAGGGGCCAGGATGGGGGGTACTTTTGCTTTTTTTGCTTATTTGGAAGCCCCTTGTATTGTGAGGCCTTAAACTGTAGTTTGCTTACCCCTAAATTCAGTTCTGCAGCCCTAAGGTTGCCAATCTCCAGGTGGCGCTTGGAGATCTCCCAGGATTACAACTGACCTCCAGATGGATGCATCACTTCACCTGGAAAAATGGCTGCTTTGTAAGGAGCAATTTATGGCAGTATATCCTACTGAGGTCTCTCCTCTCCCCAAACCCCACCTTTCCCAGGCTCCACTAGGGATGGTACAAACCACGGTTTTGTGGTGCGGTTTGGTTTCGTTTGTGGTTTGTGGCAAAACCATGAACCGAACCATGAACAGTTAGGCCAGTTTGTGAACTGAACCGGTTCGTATTGGTTCATGAGCCATTTAAAGTTTAAACCCCTGCTTTCTGCTCCCTACAAAAAGCTCCCTGCGAAAATGGCTCAGAGCCATTTAAACCACTGCTTTCTGCTCCCCAGTGATTTTGGCTGGGAGGCATTTCACCCCCTGCTTTCTGCTCACCATGGCTTTTGGCAGTGAGTAGAAAGCAGGGGGTTAACCAAACAGTTGAGTGGCAGGGAGCTTCCCACCACTCAGCTGTTTTTCACGAGCAGCAGAAAGCCCTGCATTGAAATTCATGGAAGTTCGTGCCAGCTCTTCAGTTTGCAAACATTGCTTCATGAACCACGAACCACCCGAAATTCATTATGAACTTTAGTTCATGAGCTTGTTTGTGCCCATCCCTATTCTCAGCCCCAAAGTTGGCAACCCCAATATACAAACGAGATCAACAAACTGTTAAAGGCACAGGAGCCCTGCCAGGAAGATAAGGTGCAGTCCTTTATGCATTCTGTATTCCTGAAACATTATAATTTTTCTACTCCAGTCCAAATCTTAGCTGGAATAAAACTAGATCTTTATTCCTGTTTGCTTTTGGTGTGCTTTTTTGTGTGTAACATTTTGCCACTCTGAGAAGAATAACCCTTTGTATCAAGGCGGGGGAGTACCTCACTCTTTTAATCTGCGTCAAACTTTGGACTGGTTGGTCAGGTTTATTTATAAACCACACATCAAGAATGCTTCTTCCTCCTTCCTCCGATCAAAGGTATTCTTGCTATCCTTCCCCAGCTGCAGCGAGTCTTCTGAGAGGGACGAGACTGAACTGAGTCAAAATGGTTGATGAGGAAACGAAGGCCGTCTCTATTGAGCTGAGGGAGAAAGAAGGCTTGGAGAACAATGGCTTTGTTCAAAGTGACGACACGGATGAAAGGGAGGCTGAGAATGCTAGCCAAGAAAAGTTGCCAAAACCATGCCTGCTTGGTGTTGAACCAGGAGAAATGCAAGAATTGTCCGTGCAGCCATATGCTGGCATGCCCAAGGAAGTCCTCCTTCAGTTCTCAACTCAGGCACGCTACAGAATTACCAGAGAGATCCTTTTTTGGTTGATCATTGCATCTTCACTGGTCCTCGTCGCAGCTACAGTTGCCATCATTGCCATGTCCCCAAAGTGCCTGGGCTGGTGGCAAGCCAGTCCCATTTACCAGATCTACCCTCGGTCATATAAGGACACAGACAAAGATGGTAATGGAGACCTTAAAGGTGGGTATGTCCAAACTTCTGTCAGAATCATACAGGAGAGAGCATTAAGTATATTTATTTAAATTACCTAGGCTTCACCTTTGAAAGACTGTTTTTACAAAGCAGGTTACAGAACAAGATGGAAAAAAAATTAGTTGAGTTGCATTGCCTAATAGAGAATGTTTTCAAAATAGTATGTTTTACTTCTGGAGAATGAGAGAGAATGATCATCTGTCACATTCTAGAGCAAGGAACCTCCCAGGAAATTAGAAGTCCTTGAGAACAATAGACTTGGAAATGCCATTTTGTGAGCCCTTTAAATTAGATTAATATAATGTGTGCCTCTAACAAATGCTGCGTCTGTGACGATGGGTTAGCTAGTGAAGATCTTTGTGAGCTTGTAACTGTAGTGAAACTATTTGCGGGGCTAATCCAATAAAATAACAGAATAAAGACAAACAAAATAAAGACAACCAGATTAAATTCCACATAATACATCACCACTATTCAAACAAGATTAGATGACAATTCATCCTAAGGCTTGCAGAAATAGGTAAATGTTTCTATTTTCTGGAAAGTTAAATGACCCAGAGGCTACTGGGTAAGAGGAACTGTTGCTAAGGCAGCTGCTGCACTTGTGTTAATTTTTGAGCAATGTTAAATAGCTCTGGTTAAGGCAGAGTAGTTTGGGAACTAGAAGAAGTGGCCACAGTGAGGAAACAAGCAATCATAAATGCAAAGTTCACCTTGCAGAAAATAGGTTGGACTTTGGCTCAGAAACTAGTCTTACTTCCCTGCCACTTAAAATTTTTTCCAGCTAAGATTCTTTGGAATGAATCCTAGAAAGATACATTGTTTCACATGCCTAACAAACACTTTTTTTTCATTTTTTAAAAAAGGTCTACTTTTTAGTCAAAACTGACCCTTCCAAATTAGTCCTTTCAGACAACAGTTTTGCATCCATTGAGCAATCACGATATCTCTATTCTTTCCTCCTGTTTTGCTGAAGGGTTACTTGGATTAAGAGCTAAAATCTTATGCCCTATCCCCCCAGCTAGGCTGCTACCATTTCATTGCTGCAGCACCTGTTTCTCCAGCATGGTGTGGTGGTTGGAGTGGGATCTGGAGGACCTAGGTTTGAATCCCTCGTCTGCCCATGAAAACTTGCTGGGTAACCTTCATCCAGTCAGATACTCTTGGACATGCCATCTTTCTGTGGACCACGACATCTTTTTGAAGCGTTTGGAGGTAGAAATAGAGATTAAAGGTTCTGCCTTGGACTGGTTTATATTGTACCTAACCTTCATCCAGTCAGATACTCTTGGACCACGCCATCTTTCTGTGGACGCCATCTTTCTGTGGACCACGCCATCTTTTTGAAGCGTTTGGAGGTAGAAATAGAGATTAAAGGTTCTGCCTTGGACTGGTTTATATTGTACCTTGTGGATAGATCTCAGAGGGTTGGTGCTGGAGACCAAATGCCATCACTGTGGGATTCCTCAAGGCTCAATTTTAACCCCCATGCCATTCAGTCCTTAGGAGAAATTATTCATGGATCTGGAGTAGGCTGTCATCAATATGCTGATGACACCCAGCTCTATATTTCTTTATCCAAATCACTTGATGATGCTGTAGAGTTCCTGAACTTGTGCCTAACTACTATGGTCAAAGCGTTAAGGGTGAACAAGTTGAAGTGGTTGAGGTCAGGCTGGTTGGGAAGGCTGAGGTCTTGGGAGATATTGTGCTCCCCACCTTTGATGGGATCCAGCTGATGTTTGCTGACTTATGTAAGAGCCTAGGTGTTATACTGCATCCAGTACTAATCCTGGAATAAAAAGTTAATGCAGCTGGGGAAAAAGGCATCCTACCAGCTTCATCTAGCATGGATGCCTTACCTAGCCAGAGCTGATCTGACCACATGGATCCATTCTATGGTTAGCTTAAGGCTAGACTATTGTAATGCACTCAATATGGCTCTGCCCTTACAGACAACTTGGAAACTCCATTTGGTGCAGAACACTGCAAGTCCAGTTATTATTGAGCACCAGGCAAAACATGGACATCACAGCCACTCTGCATGCAGATACTCCATTGGTTACCAATCAGTTACTGAGTTCAATTTAAGGTTCTTGTTATCACCTACAAAGCCTTAGTGGCTGCCGGCCCACCTCTCCCACTCTGCTCCTCTGTGACAGCTTCACTCATCCAAGCAAAGCCTTATAGAGATGCCCCCTTTCCAATGGGTGAGATTGGCAGTTTACACAAACTCTTAGTGGTGGCTCCCATCTTGTGGAAGGGCCTGCCTGAGGAGGTCAGGAAGGCTCCGACACTTCTATCATTCCCCAGAATGTACAAAACAGTCCAAGAGGGCATTTTATAAAATATATTAGAACTGTAGTAGAATGGAACAATCCAGGAGGGCACTTTTATAGTGGAACAGGATTGCAGTCCACAGCAATGGTTATTGTAAATATCACCACCTTTAATGCATTGTCTTATACCTTGAAAAATCCACTTTCTGAACTGTTTATAGTATACCTTGCCTTAGATACTTTGCACTGTTCTGTAATTCTGTAATCCTTATCCTATTGCACTATTCATTGATTGCTGGGGCTGTTTGCACTGTTCTATGTCCTGTAATTCACCTTGAGTCTCATCAGCAAATAAATAACACAATAAAAATAAGAGATGGAAACCACCTGCAAGTACCCTTGTGACCTACTAACACCTGAGTGAGGGTGTGGTCACACACGCGAGATAACGTGTGGGGGGGAAGCGAGGCTATTTCCTCCGGAGGAATTTGACCCGCAGTTGCGCGATCACACAGTTCTTGGAAGCTGCGGGCACACCCTGCCACTGTGTGATCAGACGCAACTACGGGTGAGTCTTTTCTTTTTTGTTTTGCTGTTTGCTTTCGATGCACTTAAACAAGGAATCGATGGATCGCATCTCCGCACTGAGGGCTCCCTATGGAGTTTGCAATGATGCACATACAGCGAAGGGGGGGGGGAACAACGGCATGGAGTCGGGATGGCCTGATCAGACCATCCCGAAGCCATGAGAGCACGCTGGAGCGATCAGACAGGGGAAAGTCTGTCCGTGGCCCATCGCAACCCATTTACTACCGGATTTTCCCCAGTGTCTTTTTACTCTGCTCCTGCGGTGGAGCAAAATGGGTTGCCAATGGGTGCGGGGCACTTCCCAGATGTTGTTGTCTGATTGCACCCTTTAAATCCGCCTGGTATTTGCGCCTATGGTGGGCCTAATTGTATGTGTGATCGTAGCCTGAGTTGAGAAGAAGAGCAGTTCTGAGTCTTCACCATAATAACTTTTTATTTCCCTATTAAATGGGATGCTAAAGTGCCTGTGTAGAATAATGTTTAGAATTTTAAACCAGTACTGGGGAGACTTGGATTTGAAGACCCACTCAGTAATAAAGGTCATTAAGTGGCCTTGGGCCAGTTAATCTCTGACAACCTAAGTTACCTCACTGGGTTGTTGTGTGAGTAAAATGGAGGAATAGAAATCATATATGTATCTTGACCTTTATGTGGGGTTGCCAACAGGCCTGGAGAAAATGTCATGTTCCTTCAATAGAGACTCAATATATGGGAATGGGCAGCTGAAGCTTTTCACAGCATGGACGAATAACATCCCATTAAGCCCCCCATCTGTCTGACTGTCTGTCTGTCTCTCTATCTACCCACCTACCCACCCACCCCATACCTGGAGATTTTTCTCCAGGCTTTTTGGCACAATCCCTACCTTTACAGTGGGAGTGTAGAATTCAAATGATAGATGGAGGCTGCTGTCTTAATTATTTCCCTGATCAGGTATCCAAGAGAAGCTGGATCATATCCAATATCTAAATGTCAAAACAATTTGGATCACATCTTTGTACAAATCTGCTTTAAAAGACATTGGGTATGGAATAGAAGATTTTCAAGATGTAGACCCTATGTTTGGAACGATGAAGGATTTTGAAAACTTGGTTGCAGCAATCCATGATAAAGGTTAGCTTTGATTATGTTTTTTGCTTGTATATATTAAGAAGAATTTTTTTAAAAAATACTGCTGTGATTTTTTAAAAATTCTTAAACTAGCTTAATGCCCATCAGTACGATAGGCAGACAGTAAAAAAAAAATTAGTTTCCACCCTGGGGGAGTCCCAGCAGTCTTTTAGGTGGGTAGCCATGTTGGTCTGCAGTAGAAAATCCGAATCCAGGAACACCTTAAAAACCAACAAGACCAACCTGCCTGAAGATCTCCATGATTAAGCATTCTAATAATTAGAATCCCAAAATAGTTTAACATAGGACCATATTTGCTAAGAGATGTGGAAGCTGGTGTCTGTACATTGAATGTGGTGGTTGTGTAGGTAAGGCCTCCAACCTCCTGCAGACAGAGCTGTGTGCTTGGCAGTCTCTGCTGTATGCCTGGGCAGTGGGATGGCCCGCTTCAGTATTCAGTGTCAGTTGAATACATTTTGCCACCTGAGGACACTCATAAATCCATGGAAATTACAGGCCCATACATGCATGAACAGAAGAATCTTCTGAAAGGCTACTTTGAATCTGACCCAAAATGTTTTGTTGCCAGAAAATAAAGATATGACTAGATGGCAAGTCTAAGTTCATTGTATCTGTATGAAGGACTGGGACTGTTGATCCACATGGCCTTTTAAACTGGACAGTCGTGAGCTGAGTTACACCCTTTTAAATCTATTAAAGCCAGTGGCCTTAGATCGGTTTAACTCTACCTAGGAATACAGTGGAATCCATCCATCCATTCATTGCCATCAGGTTGCAGCCAATTTATGGCAACCCTGTATAGTTTTCAAGGCAAAAGATGTTCAGAGGTGGTTTGCCATTGCTTGGCTCCTTGTAGCAACCCTGGACTTCCTCAGTGGACTTCCATCCAAGTACTAACCAGGGCTCACCCTGCTTAGCAGCTGAGTTCTGACGAGATCAGGTTAGTCTGGGCTATTCAGGCAATCATGTTTACAGCATTTTTCCTAAGTGCTCAGTGCGTTTCACATAAGATTTACTTAGTAATCCTTGGGAACCCTCTAAGATAGACCAGTATTGTAATCGCCATCATGGAAATACCTTGTGCTGTGTTTGACATGCTGTTATGCACATCTTGATTTGTAAGGTTTAAAAGTGATAATGGATCTAATACCCAACCATACTGGCGACAAGCACAAGTGGTTTCCGCTTAGCCGCAATCGGACTGGAAAGTACACAGATTATTACATCTGGCATGACTGTGCACACATCAATGGGAGAACCACACCACCTAATAACTGGGTAAGTACAGGACTTGGACAATAAAGAATTCATCAGCTGAAGAATACCTTACTGTGCTGTTGAAAATATAGGCACTGAGGGTACAAGCATACCATCTGCTTCAAACACATGCCTTTTTGGTGTGATGGGTGTTGCTGGAAATTCAGTTTTTTGTCCCCCTGATTGATTCCCTTTTATATTTATAGTTTTGTAGTTCTGCTTGAGTCCCTGTTTTGGAAGAAAAGCAGAATCTAATAAAGACATAAATATAGCTATCAACAATCCTAGCTACAGTCTATTGGAGTCAATGGGGTTAGAAGGGTGTGACTGGTTGAGCTATTGACCAGTGAATTTGGTAATGGCTGCAGATAAGTGTAAAAAGGGGGTTGACATATTCACAGGATGGAAAGCAATCAACAATTATTAACTTGTCAGGAGGCTGGTTTTTTTTCTTTTCCTGAAAAAGCACCTTTTGTCGCTATACCTGTTCTATGCTGCTGTAATAGTTTATTGACTAAAATAAAATGCCAAAGCAGATTGGATTCTCTGTTAATAGTTACTAACCTGCATACCAGCTAAGGTCTTGCAAAAGAGCACTGCCTTGATCCAACAGCTTAGTTCAGTCAAGCTTCAGTCTAATGCCAATCATACTTTGTTAGGCGTGATGTAACTGTTTGGCTAAAGGACACACGTTCTAAAGATTTCATTGGGACTACTTTAGAATGTAAATATTTGCATAATGAACATTTTTGTTTAAAATGTATAGTTTGCTGAACTCCACGAATAAAACTGATGCAGAACAAAACCTAGCCTACAACTGGCAAAACCAGCAGCACTATTTAAAATATATATCCTCAGAGACCTGCTGCTCAGTATACTGACTTGTAAAATTTTCGCCAGCAAGCAGAAAGCTATCTTTTATATCATTTTATCCGGCTCTTCCTCCAAAGAGATCTGACTGTCTACCCCCTCTCATTTGGCCTTCACAACAACCCTGTGAGGTGGGTTAGGTGAAAGAGAGTGATTATCCTAAAGTCACTAAAGTGGGGATTTGAAACCGAATCTTAATCCAACAGAGGGACAACTACATAGGGTTGCCATCCTCTAGGTGGGTCTTGGGTATTTCACGCTATTACACTTGCTTGTGTATCTCCAGATGACGGAGATCAGTTCCCCTGTGGGAATGGCTGCTTTGGAAGGTGGAACCTATGCCATTCTACCCAGCTGAGGTCCCTCCTCTCCCCAAAACCTGCCCTTCCCAGGGGCTCCCACCCCCCAAATCTTCAGGTATTTCCCAACCCACAGTTGGTAACCCTACAACTACACCACCACAAAAGCTGATTGGCAGGTAGTCCCTTTCAGTGGGAAAAAATCACAAGGAAAAGACTTAAATTTTCCCTTTTCCTGCACCAGGCTTGCTTTTAAAACTGCAACCCTCGCAGGCTGCAGTCCATTTTAA